GTTAAAAACTCCACAATCACCATTTCATGCCAAAATACCTAAAAATGGGCACTGCTGGCATGTTGGAGCTGCAATAAAGGCAGCCAGGAGCAGGGAAAAACACCTGGATTCCCATGGATCCGCTCCCTGAATCCAAACCCACCCCTTGCTCTGCCAAATTGGAAATTATAGAATTAAAAGGCAAAACTTCAGTTCAAATTCTTCCAAACTGCGAGAAATGGAACAAAACCCCCAAGTGTGAGAGCTGAAAAAATCAAATTAATCTCCTGATACCACTTTATGGAAAAAATCCCATTAAATCCTTCCCCTTCCCAATCAATGTAGAAATAATTTTTCTTGTTTGTTGTCCAATGACTTCAAAAATAAAGGAATAATTACCTCAAGTACATGAAGGAAATCCTTAAATATCCTTTTCCTTTCAGATTCCAGGGTGATGTCTTCAAATGCTGGTTCCTTCACAAATCTGTCTCTGATCTGTCAGGAAAATTAATTCCATTAATTATTAACTTATAAAAATAATAAGGCATAATAAAAGTAATAATAAAAATAAGACATAAATAAGAACTAAAAATAAAACTAAAACTCTGAATAAATAAGGAAAAATAAAAACAATAATAATAGAAATATTAAGAAANAAAAAATTATTTTTACCAGTTGAAAAGCCCCTGAAGTGCTACAAGGCTAAACCTGCAATCCCAGATTTCCAAGCAAATCCCGAATTTCCAGCGTTCAGGAAAGCTCTAACTCATGGAAACATGGAGAATCCCACTGCTTTCCCTGCACATTCCATTTAAGCTTAAAAAACCCCCAAATATTTATATAAATTATCCTTGGAAAGTAAAGATTCTCCAGGGTATTTTACCTAGGACGAAGTTTATACTTCAAAATAATTTCAATTAACTTTGGGGCGGTTGTGGCATTTTTTGGGGGGGTTTTGGGTTTTTTTTTCCCAGTTCTTTTAGGATGTTTGTGTGTCTAAAGGATGAAACTTTTCCCACCCAATTTTCCTGAAGGAACCACGGGTGTTTACGGGGTTTTGAAGCCCCACCAGCAGGACCAGGGAGAGGCTGGCGAAGATGGGTTTTTTTAGGGATTAGCAGGGAGCTGTCTGGGAATTTGGGAATGTTTTTCCCAAGGGATTCTCATCCTTACATCCTCCCAGACAGCATCCAGCTCGATGGGGGGGGTGGCTTGTTTCAGCATGCTCTTGAAGGCTGATTCCTTCCTCTTCATCTTCCGCGCCTCCTCCTTCTCCCGCTCCCGCTCCCGCGCTTCCGCCTTCTCCAGCAGCTGCGGGGATCCAAGGGAAGGGAAAGAATTCCATTTATTGGGATTTCTGCACACTTCACCCTCACGGTTGTGTCTGAATCACTCAGAAATAAATTCCATTTATTGGGATTTCTGCACACTTCACCCTCACAGCCGTGTCGGAGTCACTCAGAAATAAATTCCATTTATTGGGATTTCTGCACACTTTACCCTCACAGCCGTGTCTGAGTCACTCAGAAATAAATTCCATTTATTGGGATATCGGCACACTCCACCCTCACGGTTGTGTCTGAATCACTCAGAAATGACAAGGAAATTAATTGCTTTTCCCGTACTTAATTAATAACAGCTATGATATTAAATTACTTCATCAATAATTAATCAATTCTGTATTTTTCCAAGCATGGAATTGGTGTTGATGAAAATCAAATGATGCAAAATTGCAGAACCAGCCAAATCAGGAGGAATTTTAATGTACAAACAGGAGAGCATCACTGAATTCCTATCCCAGAGTTCCTCAAGTTTAGGAATGTTGACTGCTCGAATTAAGGTTTATTTTTATTTTGGCAACTGAAATGAGTTAAGTAACCCCAAATAACAGAATATTCCTCAAATATTATGGAATTAGTTAGAAAATAAACCCCAATTTGTATTTGGAGAAGGGATTTTCCATCCTCATTACCCAGCTATCCCAATTAATTAATTAATTAATTAATGTATTAATTAATACTTACACTGTTGAAAGCCAGCTTGATGTTCCCTGCATCCAACGTGGTGGCTCTTTTAGTGGAGCTGATGACAGTGACAAAATCCTCAAAGGAAGTGTTCACTTCCACCACAAATCCTTTATCCTGGAAAAAACAGCTCCTTTGGTGTGAGGGACATGGGGAATTCCTCCAATTCCAAGGAAATCCCAGCTCCCTTGGATGGGAAAGGAGGAGCCAGGTAATGCTCACCTTTAAGATGTCTTTAATTATCTTCTTCTCATCGTGGTAACGAGCTTTTAAATCCTCCACGTAAAACTTGAACAGGTCAAGTGCGGTTGATCCTGAGGGAGGGTTTAGTTAAGGCACAGGTCAGGTTTAACCCCAGAGCAGCATTTTTAGGTGCTGAGGAACAGGAATAATTGCTCAAATCCCAGGATTTCCCCTCCTTACCAGGCTGGCCGAGCATGCTGGTGAACCTGATGTCGGAGCTGATGGCTGGGTACAATTCCATCCAGGAGGACATGGAGTGCAGCTGCCCGTGCTCGTGCAGCTCATCCAGAAACAGCTGCAAAACACGAGGGAATTCAGCCATTCCTCCAGCTTCTCCCTGGTACCAGCTGGGATGGATTGGCTGGGTAACTGGAATTCCATTCTTATTCCCACAGGATTGAAAAATCCCCTTTTGTTGTTCTTCCTGCATTTCCCCACCACCTACAACGTTCCAGCTGCATCTCCTTCCCATCCAGGCCAATTCCCTCTGATTTTCCCTGATTTTTCCAGTTCTCCAAGCAGAGAAAATGCACAGCCCCAACTGGGATGGACTGGCTTGGTAACTGGAATTCCATTCTTGTTCCAATAGGATTGAAAAATCCCCTTTTTTTGTTGTTCTTGCACTCTGATTTCTCCCTACTTTTCCAGCTCTCCAAGTAGAGAAAATGCACAGTCCCAACTGGGATGGATTGGCTTGGTAACTGGAATTCCATTCTTGTTCCAATAGGATTGAAAAATCCCCTTTTTTTGTTCTCTTGCATTTCCCCACCACTTAAAACGTTCCCGCTGCATCTCCTTCCCATCCAGGCCTATTCCCTCTGATTTTTCCCTACTTTTCCAGCTCTCCAAGCAGAGAAAATGCCACAGCCCCACACCTGAGGCTTTAAACACCCCCTTGAATCAACCCTCAGAAATAAAAAAAAAACCCACGTGGAATATCCCATGATATCCCATGGGATTTTTAGGACAGAATCCCAAATTCCACCAACCTGGAAAGATTCCCTGTTTTTACGTTGCCTCCTCCTTTCCCTCAGCAAACTTTTCTGCTTCTCTTCCTCCTCCTCTTTCTCCAAGGCCCTGATATGTTCCTCAAAACAGATCAGGGCATCCTCCTTATCCATGTCTAGCGAGAACACAGGGAGAAGGGGGGGAAAAATCAGGTTATTCCTTCCAAGTCAGGAAGAATCCTCCTCCCCAAAGAATTCCAGAGCCCACGGCCATACTCTGGAGCTCCTCATCCTCGGCAAAGGTGGGGTTGTCCATGAGGTACTGCTGGGCCTCTGACCAGGTGGTGCAGTAGGTGACATTGGCCATGTTATCCAGGATGTTCTTCAGAGCTTCCCAGTTCCTCTTCCGCAGCTGCTTGGCTTGTTCCTGAGGGGAAAAGTTTCTTTTTTGGGCTCAGTTTGAGGTGGTTTGGACAGAAATGGAAGATATCTAGTGTGCTCTCCAAGAAAATATGAGAGTAATATTTAATTGATACAAGATCATGGAATTCTAGAGCGGTTTGGGTTGGAATGGTCCTGAAAGCTCATCCCATTCCAACCTCCTGCCTGGGACAGGGACCAGGTGCCCCAAACCCCAACCCCGGAAAAAAAAAAAAAAAAATTTTCCAACCTAATAATAATTCAAAGAAACAAAAAAAAAACCAACAAGGGAATGAATAAAAACCCCCAAAAAAAAAAAACCCAAGAAAAACAACAAGAAAAAAACCCAAAAAAACCCCAAATTTTCCCTACAAGCTGCTGTTTATCTGCCATAAAGCCTCAAGCACAGGTGTGAGGTGTTTGAGGAACAAGTGAGGAGATGCTGGATGGATTTGGAGGGAATTTACCTTCTCCTTCTTGGACAGGAAAAACAGAACATCCTCATAAATCTCCAGCCGGTCCCGCTCGGATATGGCATTCCACACTTCCATCTCCCCAAACATCTGTTCAGCTTTTCTGGGCAAGACAAACAAAAAACACACAACTTCATTTTTATTTCTTGGTGACTAAATTATCCATCGGTTCCCCTCAACATCAGGGAGGGCTCTGCTCCAAGCAGGAACACTTTTGATAGGAATTCTCCTTGATTTTCCCTCTTGGGAAGTGTTGGTTTTTGGTTTTGTTTTTTTTTTGTGATATCTTTTGAATTTTTCTAAAGGAAGGAAAAATCTAAAAATGGAAGTGGATGCCACTCCAAGCAGTGCATCCCATGAGGATTTTAATCCCAGATTTTCATCCCAAGTCTCTCACTTGTATCTGGTGGTGGATGTCATCTTCTCGTGGTTTTCCAGGAAGCGCTGGAAGGATTCCTTGGCTTCCTTGTACTTGGATCTGGCTTCTTCCTTCTCCTCCTTCTCTGTCTGAACTTTGTAGGCATTAAAGGCCTGCTTCTTTTCACTCAGTTTTGCCAAAGCACTTCCCAGGAAAGGAAAGGAAAGTGCAATGTTATTTATTAATTAAAAAAAAAAAAAAAAAAAAAAAAAAAA